CCGGAAGGATTCGAGGTTCGAACTAGCTGATGTTTTTTTCTCTCCCATCGACTGGCTGATGTTTAAAAAAAAGAAAAACAAATGGCTTAGATCTCTCCCATCGAAGCCCTCGATGGCTTAGATTTCTCCCATCGACTGACTAATGTTTTCCTTTTTAGTTAGCCTTAATATTTCTAGTTTGATTATTTTCTTTTATTTTTCTTATTTAGGCTTAATATTTCCTGTTTGATTAGTTTCTTTTGATTGAGAATAACATGCTCTCGACGGAGCATACCATACACTTACTTTGTTGGACCAAAGACCTACTTAAGAAGATTTTTTCAATCAGAAATTTTGAACTCTACTTTATAATGATGAAACGAGTACTTCAAAAAAAAAAAAAACAACAAAAGATGAAATCTACTTTATAAAGATTAAATAAGTATTTAAAAAAAAAAGAAAAAAGAAAACAAAAAAGAACAAAAGATGTTGCCACATGGTGGTTTCGTTCCCACTCACACCACCCTACTAACACTTTAAAAAAACTAACTCCTAAACTATTTTATAAATAAAAAAGTTTATATAGAGCAGAGGTTTCGTTCCCACTCTTGTATTTTGAATTATGTATGTTTAAACTATTACAGGTTAATTATTGAATGGACTGGTTTTGTATGTAGTTTTCTTTTTATGGACGCATCAATTGTGAATGCTGCTTGATACAGATGCATCAGTGTTAAAGTTATTACATGTTATGATTTGTTATTACATTTCAAGAATGGAAGTGTATATTATATCCAATTGCTACTCATTTGCATATTCCATGGGATGGTCCTCGTCTAATGAAATGATAAATGGTATAAAGAGGGACTGCAACCCCCTAGAACAGTATATGATCACAATAGTGGGTCCTACCTCTTCATCACCACTCATAATTTCATCAAATGTGGATTACCCCGATGGAGTATAGTTCTCTGTAACGCATTGGATATTATACATCCTTTTTCTAAAGCATCTAATGCCTCCATAGAGTTTCAATATTTTGACCCCAAGTGTCTTTCATATTTTTGTGCACTTTTGACTCTCAAACTTCACTCGTAGTTTATCCATTGGGCTACATAGCATGCAAATCTTGAAATGTTCATTGATTAGTGAATTTATTCTATTCTGCATTTTGCATTTTCTTTTTTTTTTTTGAAAATATCTTTTTGTTTCCAATGCCATGATATGAAACATTTTGCATTTTTATTTTCACTGTTTATAAGTACTATATATTTTGAGAAAAGTTGTCAAAAAAAATATATTGAAAAAGTGAATGCAAAAAAACAAAATCATGGAAACACAAAATCATGCAAACAAAAAATTGTTACAAGAATCAGATAGAGACTACAAATATCACAAAGGTAGACTACACTTCTCTATGGATTTTGTTTGTCTTCATGCATGTCCATACTTCTTTACAAAAAAAGAAACTATGTGCACTTATTCTTCGCAAAAAAAAGAAACAGAAAATAAGTTACATGACTGCCACTGATTTAGGAAACTTCAAAATAATATGCGCTTTATAAAAATTACATGATTGCCACTGATTTTGTAAAACTTCAAGATGATATCTGCCTCATGATATTTTTTTTGATACGGACTATAGGCCGGTTTGGAAACCACAATGCAATTTTATCATATGGTGTTAGTGGTGGACATATGAAAAATGTAACTCTTGCTAATGGGATGAAAACTAGTCTTTTCTCTAATCCAATACAGATACCCAGTTCTTCTTTAACTTTCCAAGAGGTTATCAAACACGAAAACCAGAAACTTCTTAAATTCCCAAGAGATTATCAAACACAGAAACCAGTAACTTCTTAACTTCCCAGGGAGGTTATCAAACACAGAAACCAGGAACTCCTTAAGTTCACATAACTTAAGAACTTTTAATTTACAGTTCTTGAACTTGCTTCCAGTTATCAAATAGGCCCCTAATGTCTCCAGGATAAGGGGGGAAAGAGAGTTCAACTCACAAGAATAATACATCTTACAACGTGCCTTATTCAAGATTTCCATGCTTTTATAGATCTACATGATTTGAACCATTTTTGGGTTTAAAATTTTATGAGTAGAGATAAAAATAGACTATCGTACCATCCTAAGAATTTTCTACACCAAATTGCAAGACAAAGTTTGGAAGTGCACCTTAGTTTGATTTTTTAAAGGCTACAACCTTATCCAAACCACACCCATTCAATGCAGATTTCATCGTAAAGTTTCATAGAATTTTTTTAATCAAAATAGTTGCCTCCAAATTTGTCGTTTTTTATCTTGAAGTAAAAACCAAGAGAGTGCGTATCTTATTTGAGTTTTTGATTCATCTTAAACTTAATAGAATTGATCAAAATGTTATTAAACATTCATCCAATTGATCATAGAACAAAATTGGATCAAACATGATCCAAAAAAAAAAAGATTCAAATCTCATTTCTCTACTTCTAGGAAATCAATAGTACAGTGATACAGGAAAATCAGCAGTGCCATTAACTAAAATCAATATATCTTAGAAAAATACATGGAAAATAAGATACACAATGTAAATAAAATGCCCCAGAAAATTTCCATATTACAAAAAAAAATTAAAGTTGAGCTATAAAAATTGAGATAATTATTAATAATAAAATAAAAATAAAAAAAAAGCGGATTATCACACCATATGCATCCAGACCTATATGCATCAAAACCCCTCATATTATTTAGCAATTTATTATTATTATTTAAAAAATCTCAAAAGCCCTATAACCGAGTAATGATCGGTTTAGATCCATAAGAATGGATATACAAAAGACTTGGACCAAGGCATACCAGACCCTTCAAGAATTTACGCCTGGTTACAAGGCAAACGATTTATCAAAGGCATTTTGAGCGAAAATTAAATTAACAAGGTACTTATGGGTGCCGTGGAATGGTTTTCAACTTACCGTAACACCAGTGTTCATGGTGACGATAAAATCAGGAAAGGTCAATTCCCACTTACTTCATCACTTTTGAGAAAAGATATAAGGCCTCACCAAAGGGTAGGGCTCAAATCCCCACTGACTTTACCACTTTCGAGAGAAGATATAGGATTTTGGCGATAGTATTGCTCAGTCCCATTATGAGGTTTTTTACTTCATTCTCACCAAAAGGGTAGGAGTCCAAAAATCCCCTCTGACTTACCATTTGAGAATGGGTTGGAGCTTGATGATAGTAATCCGATGATTAATGCTCTAACTCCATTCTCACCAAAAGGCTAGGCCCAAAAAATAGTATGAATGATATATTTTTCCTAAAAGCATTCGTACAACCAAAAGGTTAGGCCCAAAAAATAGTATGAATGATATATTTTTCCTAAAAATATTCGTACACATTAGCTCTACATCTCGATGTTTCATTTGGAGGATCCAACATGGAACTTTCAAGGGTAAGATTCGACTTTATAGTAAAGGTCCACTTGGATATGTGAAAACCTTTCACGCTTGGAAGTGGATGGATATATTACTCTTCCTTATTTTCATGCAAGCATGATCACGTGAGAACAAAATAGGACCTTTCACGCTTGGAGTGGATGATATATTACTATTCCCTATTTTCATGCAAGCATAATAACGTGAGAACAAAATAGGATTGTATACCACCAAATCGCATGGCTTGGGAAGTGTCATGAAGTTAAAAGAAATTCATTTTAGCCTTTGAATCTAACCCATGGATATACAACCACCCAATTTAAAATTTGACGAACAGAGTGACTGTGAACTTATAATCTTTTTGTATATTTATAATTTCATGGGCTAAACCAATATTCGTAACATCAAAACTCAACTGTTTATCAAACATGGGTTTGGAAGAGGTTTAATCGACCTAGCCAGTAAATCGGTCAATTCAATCATTCTAACAAAGCAAGCCCCGAGTGGTCTGAAAATTGTTGAAAAAAAAATGATACAAAAAAAAAATCTACTAAAATATGAAAAGGATATAAAGAATGATTAAGACAACAAATATCGAAATGAACTTGAAAATTAATGGAAAAAAATAGATTTGTGGCCAAAGGTATTTTTAAAATTCTACGAAAAGAGATTATAAAAGTGGACATTAATGACAAAAATAATTTTTAATTTTTGCCATAATATAAAAAATATTTAAAAATATATTAAAAACCAAATTTCTTATTTTTAAAAATTTATATACATTTTTTTGTTAAATATTGATCAATCACCCGAACCGTCCAAAACCGAAACCGGCCAATGCCGATTCCGATCTAACTGAGCAATACCGGTTAAATCGGTCGGTTTTTCCAACAATGGGCTAGACAATGTCACTACCGCAACAATGCATTGCTCCCAAAGCATGCAACGGGACCCTACGAAGAACTATCGAACATCAAAGAAACAGGTCCTTCAATTTCTCTCAGACATCCACTGCACATGCATTTAACAGAAAGGATTAGTTTTCACCCAGGGTTGATAGAATCAGCCATTGACGTGGGCGGCAATGTTTCTCTCTCTCTCTCTCCAATTTCTGCCTCAAAAGGCTCTCTTTTTACTGCATAGTAATCTCTCAATTGCCCATGAAGCCATCAGCACTCGCTTCATCCTCAGATGAACAGGTATGGTAAAGTCCTTCGTACAACAGTCAACATCTAATTGAAGCCCGCTTGGAGGTTTTTAATACTACGAGGCTAGGGTCTAGGTGATGACACCAGGATTTAGCTGTACTTGTATTTCTCTATTTTTTTTCATCTTCTATTGTTTTCATGGCGCTTTTACTCCTTTCACTATAGAAATGACTGATCGTTTAATAAAAAAATTAGGGTCTGCGGAACCTCCAAAGGCATGATTGCAACGAGCAACCGCCAAAGAGGTATTTACAAGGCACCCATGTTTTTAATCATCTCGCATGGACCAGCCCAGTCAAATGAAGATTGAAACAATATTTATGGGTCACAAGATGCACTGCATTGGGGTGTCCTTTTCAGTTAATCATATTTTTAAGGTAATCACTGCAGTATACAATGCAGAACATGCGGTGTTTCATTTTCTTCCAGTAACAAGCATTGAAGGTACCAAATTTAGTCACAACAAAAGACACCGTCCACTGTCACGAAACAAAATATTACCAGGCAAAAAAGCCAACAAAAATCGACCAAAATCTACATGGACCACACACCACTGTATTATTATTTATCCAACCAACTCCCAACCTAGCAACTAACCCATCACAAGTATGACGCCATAACGAAATCGAGGGAAAGCAGGAGAAAATACCACTAGCACCATCTTTAAAGCATTCAGCAATCAGCAAATCTGCAACACAAAGAGCATTGAACTCAATTAATTAAAACGCAACAGGACAAAACCAGGAAGAGCTATTTTAGTCGTCTTTTATGATCATTAGTAAAAAGCATTATATCATTTTAATGTGAGCCTATCTCAGCATTCACTAGAGGAAGGGGGAAAGAGAAAAATGAAAAGAAGCCAAAAGGATTTCTTACCCAAGCTCCGAAAGCTTCAAGTGGGCTTCAGCATAGTCAGCAAAGAAGGCATCCTCATCCTGTAAAAATCACATTTCATATCAGACGAACTCCCACACCAGATGAAGACTCCCACAATTTGCTTCAGAGCAGCTAGCAAAACCATAGCATTTGACATATTGAGAAAAGATACCCAATGTCTCCTGGTGAAGATTATCATGGGCCCCAACACCAAGCATTACTATGCAACCACTCGCATTACAATTCAGTGAATTGCAATGAAACAACATACATCACATCCCAGCTGAAAACTCTTCCCAGCAAATTGGGAAGTCACTTCTCTTACTACTAACAGATACTAGAGATAATAAACATAATGCATAGGGTGAGCACATACCGCTGCATACTTCTCCACATACGGGTGGAAAGCAGGATCCTCAATCAGGGCCTTGTCAGATGGCAACTGAAGCAAGCCTTCCTTCTCTCCACTCAAAAGCTCCCTGAACAGTTTGAAACCAACCAATCTTATTCACAAAAACAATTGGTAGGCCAACTGCTTCACATATAAACAATATGGAACCATAACACATGCAATGACCTTAAAAAGTACGTGACTACGAAGCCACTATCTAGTCTCCCATTTAAAGTATACTATTCCCCTCTTGGTTTACCCAAGGGCAAAATTCTTCCTGGAAGACTTATTCCTATCATATCACACCAACATCCATAGGCATCCAAGGAAGAGAGAAAATTGCATACACTAATAACGATAAAACCGAACAAGAGGCTTCACAAACAAAACTTCCTTCAGGAACATAAAGAACACCACCCCTATTACCAAACACCGCACATTTTTTACAGCATGAAGGTTACAAATTTTGGTTTATGAGCATGTTTAAAATATTCTCATTTAAATACCAGATGTCCTTATGGTCAACATGATAGTATGATCAACTTTTATTTTATGCATTCTCGGATCAGGTTTTTTTTGGTCATTAATCAGAATTGATATACAAGAATGCAGAAACCTCATTATTATGAAATTAAACCTCAGTGTATTCTACAAAAGCTAGAGCAATAATTTAGTCACAGTCTATGCATTCCGGTTTCCCCCTATACCTTTTAACTATTAAAATGAAGCTTCAAGTCTAAATCCCACACAAGAAAATTAACCAACCAGCCCAGCAGGTGTTTAGGAGCACATGGACTGGCCTGTTCAAGTGATTAATTGAAGCCTAAGGTCCATTAACCAGTCAAGTTTTTTCATACACAGTATGTATGTGCATGTATATGTCTTGTAACCATAACCACATTCAGCACACAATGATCCCATGTTTAAACAATATGCAATAACATAAAGTGTTTACTTGAAGTAGGAGTTATCAAAGATGAGAGGGTTGGAAGTCCAAGCTCCCTCAAATCCTGAACGCTCCTTGTGGCACCTTCCCTGTACAAAAGAGTGACGTGTCATATTTTTCTTCGATCAGTAGGCATGCTTCGTATAGAATCTCAATAACCAAAGCTCCAGCAGAGCAAAAGTAATTGAGTTAGCTTTTGTGTTTGGAAACAAATTCATGGGATTTCATGATTTGATTTTTTTCTTAAATGGATGAAATATAAAGTTACAGACACACTATGGTGCTATCAATTATTGGTGGCGAATAAAATATTTTATTTTGTTACTTAAGAAATCAGAAAATAGTAAGCTCTGCAAGTTTATTTTGCAGGACAGAAGAAGCCACATGGCTCTCTCTAATTATTTACGCTTTACAGAGGAATTTCATTGTATCTTCCATCAAGTGTGCCCGCAAAATGTGCCAGTTGTAAAAGATAGGATCCAAGAAGGCAAACTTTCACGTTCCAAGCAAAGTGAGGAGTAGTCCTCATAGTAGTGCCCAATGGTTTTCATAAAAAAAATGTGATTCATAAACCAACCATACCAGGGTGTGTGCACCAGATAGAGCAACAATGTCCTTGTCAGTAAGGCCCATTTGCTTGATGAAGACTTGTCTCAGATGGTCAGGACCTGCCAAAAGGACCTAAATCGTCAGGCACCTTGAAATATTTAGAGGGCATCATTCATGAAAACGTCATTCTTGCTATCATGAAAGGAGACTTTAAAGTCAAACCTTTCGTGGCATCAGGGAGGCGGCCTTCAACTGGTGGCTCGGTCTTATCCTATTAAGTAGGAACACGACATAGCAGCCAAATGTCAGTGAGTGACTAGAAACAGATTCTATGACCAAGATGATGCAAGTATCCTTGACATGGCCAGATACAAAATATCAGCACTTTAAGACTAATAAACATACAGTTATCAAAAGTAATAACCCTTCAAGGATAATATCCATCCATTCAAGTTCCTATGATTCTACAAATACAAAGGTACAATCATCATTCAAAAGTAGAAAATGAACATTATCTTTAATGTATCACAGACAATCTTAAATAAATGAAAGTCAATATGGAGCCACATATGTTGGTCCTCTATAGCCCACACATAGCATTGGTGGTCCCAATATTTAAATGCAAAGGTACAGATCACTCAATCATTACCACATGTACATTTTGAAATACAAATCTATCTAAGTGGCAGTGCTGGTAACCATTGACTATACACAAAATTTAATGCATAAGGCACCAATTTTATAGTTGGATCTACATTAGGAGGATTCTTCGGTTTAGCCATACCCTCTCAAACAAGTATGACAACACAGGTTCTTTGGATGGATTCTTCTTCTTGTTTACTGACCACTGACTACATCATCGATATACATCGTTCTTGATTTAAGAAGACACGTATGAACTCAACCAAGATATTTACTGATCATTAAATAGAACATGGATATTGTTATCCTTTAACAGCATAGCCCTACAGCCGACTCATCATGGGAAAATTTCGTACAGAACCTTAATTCCCCATCTTATTTCATGGTAAACTCTCCTTCCATTTTTTTTCAAACAGCATAAAAAAATCCCTAAGGATTTTACCGTACCCCTTTATCTCTTATCTCCCTCATTTATTCATTTTTTACCATAAAAATTAGCCCCAACAAACCCTTTTATATCATTTTAACCCAATGTGAGAGAGAGGTAAGGAGCCCTCAACATAGAATTGAGGGGCTGAAAAGGCAAAAAATATAATAAAAAAATATTTTTGAAGCGTTTTTGGGTTAAAAGATATAATGGGGTTGGAGATATAATGGGGTGGGTTAAAAAATTTTTAAGGTTAAAAAGGTTTTTGAAACGTTTTGGGGTTGAAATGATATAGAAAAGTTTGTTGGGGCTTAATTTTTATGGTCAAAAGTGAATAATGAGGGAGATAAGAGATGAGGGGGTACGGTGAAATCCTAAGGGATTTTTTTATGCCGCTTGAAAGAAAAATGAAAAGAAGGTCTACCATGAAATAAGACAGGGAATTAGGGTTCCATACGAAATTTTCCCTAAAAGTATTTCTACCATTCAGTTTTCATACATACATATTCTAATCCTGTGCTGGTGAAAATATTGATTATGTTAACTGTAAGTATTAAGCAACACAAGTGTAACATTCATAGCTAGATAAATTTCCTATACCCCATACAAAAATGTCATAAAAAACAGGTTAATTCACAGCCCAATTTCATGAAACTTCCAATCATAACACTATGCATACACATCTGACAATGTGCATCAAAGCCCATCAACCATAACATAAAAAAATATGCACACGGATGTAGTTGTAGGATGGCAGAAGAGGAATGTTTTTTCCCCAAGGATGTCAAGAGGGCGGTTGTCCATATTTAGAGAGGAAGAACTTGTTATCACATATAAAATAAAAATTATTACCTGTCTTCCTGGATGGAAAGGAATCTCCGGTCCTCCTGTAACTTCCACAGCAACAATTCCAGCAAGCTACAACAAAAATTCGACATTTAGTTCAGATATAAAACAATTAACTAACTTATGATATGAATAAAGAAAATTATGCATAGGATAATAAGCAAAGAGATGCCAAAAAAGAAAATTATGCATAGGATAATAAGCAAAGAGATGCCAAAGAATCTTGAACCTGATAGAAATCAGCATAAGTCAATATCAGAAATTGCTCCTTAATAGGCTCCAATAGCCTAACAGCAATATCAAGCCCAGCATTAGCACCATGGGCAAGTTCTTCTGGGTACTTCATTGTCCCAAAGGGACCCCCAGTTTTAGTACAGACATCAAAAGTTCCTGCAGAATGCCAACTGCAACAAAGAGTTTCCCATCAGAGTCGACAAAATTCAAATCCAACGGAGTTCAATAATAAAGAAAAGCTCGATAAATTAAATGAAAAAGTTTTTCCCAAAATCATAAGGAATCTCCTAATGTAACTGAATATTATATTGAAATGCTGGCCTACGAAAAATAGCCTCACAGTCTCTTAAGTTTTTGATCGCAGTAGTTTTTCATCGCATTAAATAGCCTCTTATATCTTTATTATGCACACTACTAAGGCACAAAACCTTATGTACATCCCTAGAATGCATCAGACTTAACACTTCCCACATCCAAAGCCGTTTTCAAGGCCAGTAAGAGGTCCAAAAAAGTTCCATTTCAGTCTCACCAATGCCAAAGAAAGAAAACAAATGATTTGAGGCTCCAAAAATGCTCTGAATCTACTGCCTCCAAATCAAACATGCACGGTCCATTGGAACAGGTAATGGCACTCAGTGATATGAAGCTCAAATTCATATTCAGGGATCATGATTTGGAGCAATTTGCAACTCTTTTGCACACCTTGTTTTAGGGGGGCCTGGGGTGGAGAAGCATTAAGTCTAATACTCTGCATTTTGTTATTTCCAATCCAATACAACTTCCATACACAATAACTGATGTGAACAGCATACAAGATCCAATGTAGAAAAGTAGTCATACAGGCAATGCTTTTGTTGATCAAATCTTCGAGTGAGGAATACTTACGCAGTACGGACCATCAACGGTGCACAGTTCTTCTCCGCAATGAAGCCCCTGAGCTTTCTCTTACATTTCTCAACAGCCTTCTGATATTCCTCACAGACTTCCGGGTAGCACTTGCACTTGCTCATGATGTTACCTGTGAATGTTCAACATGAAAAAAAAAATGCTAGAATCAACATTTAAAAGAAAAACTAATAAAAATTCCGATTAGACAGGAACATATTAGCTGGATTAAAAAAAAAAATGCATCATTAAAAAAGCTAATATGCCAAAAAAAAAAAAAGAAGAAAAAAAGCACGTAAACAAGAAAAGTAGATGAAAATTCTCAACATGAAAGCACCAGAAAGGATATTTTAGAGAACTCCAAAAAATAAGAAAATTCCACAATAGATCAGCATTCATAATAAAATTATGACACAATTATATTCATTGACAAGAGCTTCAAACTGAAACTCAAAAGAAGATAAAAGTGTGTATACATACATACATGCATACATATATATAGCGAGAGAGAGAGAGAGAGAGAGAGAGAATTAAAGGAGCTCCAAACTGACGCTCACAAAGAAGATTAATGGCAATCAAGCAATAAACAACCAAAAGATGCTCCAGCAATCTAAAGCTCATAGAGCAGATAAATATCAAACTAAATCCATCAAACCCGAAGAAAAATGAAAAAGACAGAATTAAGGATGGAAAAACCAAGCAACATTAACTAGCGGGATAGCAGCGGAATTGGAACGTCTTAGCATCAGATGCCAAAAACATCACTGAAACAAAGAAAATCCATCAAACTAAGAAGTAACACTATAAAAGAGAGATCATCAACTCATATTCCCTAAAATAAGCCCTCTAAACATGAAAAGTGCAACTGAAATAACAGAGCAAAAAGCAATCAACCCTCAAATCGAAGTACTGGAAAGGAATGGCCAGATCAAACCCATCTGTGAACAAATACATGTACATAGAGAGAGACACACACACAAAATTAAAGGAGCTCCAAACTGCAGCTCACAAAGAAGATTAATGGCAATCAAGCACAATAAACAACCAAAAGATGCTACAGCAATCTAGAGCTCATAGAGCAGATAAATATCAAACTAAATCCGTCAAACCCGTAAAACAAAGAAAAAAGAAAAAGACACAATTAAGGATGGAAAAACCAAGCAAAATTCACTGGCTGATAGCAGCTGAATTGGAACGTCCTAGCATAAAATGCCAAAAACATCACTGAAACAAAGAGATAGATAAAAATCGCAATCTGAAAATGAAGAGTATATTACTCAGTAAAGAATAAGCTGATCAATCTATGCAACCAGAGAGCGAGAGCTTTTCTCTGGAAGGATTTCCACTCGACAAGAGCTTTATGATGGTTATTCCAAGAGAAATAGAGAAAGAGAGAGATGGTGAAAAACACAAAGGCATATTTAATGGACTTCCTGGTTCCATTGACTAGAGCCTCAATAGACTCGCTCAACTCAGAGCTCCGCTCCTCTGCAAAAGAATTAGAGAGAAGGCATATTTGATGGACTTCCTGGTTTCACTGGCCTCAACAGAATCGTTCAACTCAGACCCCTCGTCTACAGAGGAATTAGAGAGAAAGCGATCAAGGAATCAGAGAAAGAGCGATCAAACATGAACTGAAAATATTGTACAACACGGCATCTCAGCTCTATCGATCCACTCACTGAAAGACTCGATCAACTCAGGGCTTCGCTCTCTTTAACCAAGATAGATAATGGATAGACGGATGAGAGCGAGAGAGAGAAAATCTGAAATGAAAATACTAACAAGCGCTTTATACCCGAAGAAACCCTAATCCCATGACCTTTAAGCATCAAAGGGAAGCTCACCTAAAAGTTTTCGCCTGTTGTTTTCTTGCAGGAGTGGAAAGAGAGCGATGAACCCTAAATCTCAAAGGCACGAGCAGAGCACACTCCCCTGCCCACCCAATGGCTATATAACATACACTCTTCGAGAAGGAGAACATTCCAGACGGCGTGCCACAACCGTTCGTTCCAGGCAACGTGCAGCCGAGGTTGTCTCTCAATTCAACGGTCCAGATCATTCAAACCGGCCCGCCCATCGTGATAAGCTCCTCGTGCTCTTTTGGAAACGATGAAACCTCCCAAAAAAAAGAGAAAGGGCGTGGTTTGTTTAGAACTATCAAATTAGAGCCTACTTTTAAATAGTATCGAAAGATATAGTTTTAATATTGAAAATATTTGTGACATTTTTAAAATATATTTTGATATTTATTTATAAATTTTAAAGTTTCAAAAATAGTATAGATCAATAGATCTATGAAAATTTGAAAGTCTTAAAAATTGACGGTCCAAAAATGCATTACAAAATACACAATTTTTAAAATTTGAAATCCATTTTTTCTCATGTCCATGCATTGATATCGATACGATGAATTGGAGAATATTTGGGCATAAAAACAACATCTTCTAAAAAAAACTTTTTGAAATAAGCTCAAATTTGATTGAGCCTTGGCTCTATATAAACTTTTCCCAAAAAGGAAAAGAAATTACAAAAAAAAAAAAACATCGACATGCAGCATAACCCTCCATTACCTCTTTTGTAATGCCAAAAATGCCCTTAACCACCCCATAAGAGAAACAGGGTTAGTGACCGTCCCGTCACTTGAGGATAAAAGCGTTGTACTACGGCCGCAGTTGCATTGTGTGGGCCTTGGGGTACACCAGTGTTCGTGTCAATTTAAGATTGGCCGAAGTTTTTTACTTTCTGTGGTCTATATTCACCTACGGCCTCGCGTGGTCCCCACTCTGGCGGTCTTGGGCTGCGCCAAACGGAGGAGGAAAAAGAAAACACCAAATGATATTATGCTCCCGCTTGATTGTGTTGTTCTTATACTCCCTTGGTAAAAGCCCATTAAGGATTAAGTTTAGGAATTCGGGGACGCAAGCCATGTATTGCCCTCAATAAAAATTCCTAATTGAACCGTTTATGCACTTGAAATAAATAATGTCTCAATATTATATAGAGATCTTTCAATTTTTAAAGAGTAAAATCTGTGTTAGAAAAAATAAAAATTTAAATTTTTTCTTTTGATTATAATCATTTAGTGATTTTTTGGTGGTTCACAAAATTTAATATTCAAAAAATACTTTGAAGCAGGTCTTCTTAATATTATGCTCCTACCGGAATATTATATACACGCTTAAAAAAATATATCTTACAAATCAATTTCTTTTTTTTTCTTTTGAATCTTTTATATTTTTTTAAGAACTCGAAGTTGGACATCCAACTTGGGGCGAGCCTGAGTTACTTAGGCTAGTCACTCGCCTGATGAGTTGAACACTATAAGTGGATTAAGTTTGGTTTCTGATTGGGGTTGGGTAAAATAACCATTGAGGTATGGGCTAGGTAGTGGATTATGAAAACAAATCATGTATAATTTCAATCATGGCAATTAACGATCAACTTTTTGTTGCGCAAATGCTCTAGGAGGTTGTCCACATTGAATAAGACCATTCTTTACATCTAAAACTGATCCAAATCACCAATTTAGTAGCCCGACACAGATATGTGGGTGACGATCTGCCCTACCAATCCGAATTTTGATATGTTAGTCCTATCACCCCATCAATTCCTAACTTTGAGGCAAACCCTCTCTCATTTGTGCAGGTCCCTAATTCCTAGTCTTTTTGCCTGGCCATGAGTGGGTTTCTCTCTAAAACGATGTTAGATTGATAGGTGTTCGTTAGACTGAAGAACTTCCTCTACCCTGATATGAAGAAGGGTACGAAGAGAGAGAAATGCTATAAAGTTATATAAGAAACCTTCTCAAAGAATGTCACTAGCTTTCTTTTTTTTTTTCTTTTTAAGGTGACCACAGATATATGTAAAAAGTTTATGTAAGTGTGAAGCTCTAAACAATCAAATTAGAGCACACCTCAAATTTTTCACTAGAAGAAAGCTCAAATATCCTCAAATTGATCATCTGGACTTCAAGATGCATAGACATGAAAAAAAATGGATTTGAAGTTACAGAAATAGTACATCTTGTAATGCATATTTGGATCGTTAATTTTCAAGATTTTCATAGATCTGCTCTATCGACACTATTTTTAAAGCTTTAAATTTTATAATTAGAGATGAAAATATATTTTAAGGTTATCACAAAGATTTACAACATTGAAATTATACTTCTTGGTACTATTTGAAGGTGTGTTTTACTTTGATTATTTAAAGCTTCAACGCTATACAAACCGCACCATTTTTATATATATTAAACCGTCCAACTGGGGCACCAGTCTATGCTCTAGGTGCACCAGGCACATGCATCAGATCAAGAAATGGGTCATCCTGCCATTTTAGTTGATAACTTTTTTTTTTTCTCTTTTTGGGTAAATTTTAGTAAGAGAATTAAGGGGGGGGGGTTGGATATTTGTCGCATTTATTTAAAGGATGGAGTAGGCTTAGGCTTTATGAAAACAAAATAAAGCCTTCAATCAAATCCTCATCGGAAAGCTTTTTTTGGTAATGAAAATCTTCATGATAACTTTAAAATCAATTTCCAACTCCGACAATAAATTTTAAAACTCAAAAAATATACAAGTCTTGCAGATATTTGAATGCTTATTTTTTAGGTTGAAATGGATAATCTAGATATTTTATTACAATATACACTATCTTTAAATGTTAAAATTTTAATTTATTTTCACAACTATAATATTGAAGCTAAGATGATCGATGTAAAAGTTTTTCAATACTTAAATTACTATTTTCAAGGAGTTTTAAAATGAGCCTTTATTTATTTTGATAGAGCTGCAGTCTTATAAAACTATTTTCCTTATTTCAAAAAAGGCTTTTATAGAGTGGGAATCTTTAGCACTTCACACGCCAGTCAATGCGTGCCAGCCTCCATTTCACCCAATTTCTTATGTTTTTTTAGTAAATACTAGATGGTCCATAACGACGGCCAAAAATAAAATGGTCAATAACAAAGGCCAAATATAACGCTCATGTAGAAACAAAAGTTTGTCCATTTATGACTTTCTTTCTTCTACGTGTGAACGGGGTTCCCTATCAAATGATTCCGTTTGAATAGGCGGTAGGGACTGGGGCCCCTACGTGTTGGCCACGTGGCCAGGTTTAGTTGGTTTATACGTACTTTGTATTGGAAAGTGGATAGTGTTCCTCAACGCCACGCACATATAAATCGGTAGTTTAAAAGACGGACTAGTGCCACTCAAAAATCCCGATTCAAGAATCGGTATTTCATATTCGAAAACGATTGAATCGATCGGATTTATTTTTAAAAAAATTTAAAAGAATTAGTAAAAATTATTATAAATAATTTTTTTAGAAATCAAATAAAAAATATGAGTATTGTATTAATAACTTTCATTTTTTGTATAAAATGATTATTTTTTTTTAAAAAAATCTATTTTATATGATAAAAAAGAAAAAGAAAAAATTTCATACGGAACCCTAATTCCCCATCTTATTTCATGTTAGATCCTCATTTCATTTTCCTTTCAAACAGCATAAGGAAATCTTTCAAAATTTCACCATACCCGCTCATCTTTTATCTCCCTCGTTTATTCACTTTTAACTATAAAAATTAGCTCCAACAAATCGTTTTATTTCATCTCAATGTAAAAGTTTTTTTAACCCTATTTTGCACTCTTTCAACCCCATCTCTCTCATCGTTTTTCCCATGTTTTCATTTTGACTGTGGTGATCTCTCTTTACTACGGCAAGGGCTCTCTCTCTCCATTCACCACAGTGGTAGAGTCTGCTCACCTCTCACCTTCTCATGGTAAGTTTCTCTCTCTAAATTTTACAGAGGGGACTTTAGATGGAGAGACCCAAATACTCTACTATTTTGTATCAGCTGTAATGGCAGAGTTCCCTCTGAAAAGTTTAAAAAGAATGTGGAGAAATGATGGTTAGGGCCTATGGGATTTACCCAAGAGCTTCATTTTTCAACTGTCTGTCTTCCCAATGCTTGTAGGTATTTCCATGGAATTCCTAATACAAAGCATCCTATTTTTTTCTTTTTTGATGGAAATTGTGTCTCTGATTATGGAAATGGTGTTTTAATCAGAAAACAATTGGATTTTAAGGATTTAAAATTGTGGGGTTTTAAGGTGGTTTGAGTTGGGTTCTAAACCAAAAAATGGTGACTTTTTCAATAATGATTGATTTCTAAACTTTTATAGGCATTTCCCACACTCATTGATTCAGAACAGTCTATTTTTCTTCCTAAGAACTGTATTTTTGCCTAAAACAAATGGGATTTTAATATGATATTGTGTTTTTTTGTTGAATGGAACTAGGTTCATAAACAAATTTTATGGTTTTTTATGACATTGATGATTTTGGTCATTATATGGTATTGTTTTATCAGAATTTATTTGCTCTTTAAAATACATATCGGGTTTGTCATAACGAAATTTGGGATTCTTAACTAGTGATCTTCTAGTAAAAATTTAGTGCAATCTCAAAATAAGTATTGGGCTTCTTTGTTTGATTTCTTAAAAATAGATGTGGGTCTTTTTCCATCAAATTTCCATTGGGTCTTGTTGCTCTTGTCACAACTCACAAGTTTGTTCAATCATAGTTGAGCCAGTTTTCTTTTTATTTTTTGTTTATTAATTATTTATTATTTATCTTCTTCTTCTAATAGTGGGTTTTCGTAATATTGAGTTGATAGTCAACTAGACTATGTGAATCAATTCTCGGGGCTTCTCGTCAATATTTTAAAAAAATCTGAATAAGAGTGTGGCATTTCAATACAATTGATATTTTTTCAAAACAAGTGATCCAACAAAAAATTATATTTCAGAACAAATAACAGTTTCTTCATTAGAATTATGGCTTTCTAC